CACCGACACCCTCTTCCCGTTTTTCACTTTAGCTCGTCGTTAAAAATTTTTTTCTTATAAATAAAAATTCTCTAAATGAAATAGACATATTGAATCTTTTCTCATCAACTGACAAATTATTTATATTGTTTCGACATTTTGAATAAGTTGGCATATTTATCTTTCGACATTTTTTCTTTTGGACCAAAGTACGATTTACCATCCTACAGTATGCCGAAAAATATTCTTCTCGTTTTGTGCGTAGATGTAATTTGATCTTATTCCTTATCCGTCACATGTGCCTACTATTTTTCTTTCTCTTCAACATTTCACATGCCTGCCTCTCCATTATCAAAACCAAACGAACACTTGCCATTATCGCAGTGTTTCAAATAGTACGATGGTTGATGTTTTCTCTCATCTATCACTGCACAGTATATATTTTTGTAGATATGTCCTCGACGATTCTACCCTCTACAAGCCAATGTGCCAATTCAGGCACATACGTGCCAACCATCCTAAGTAAATAGATACTGCATGGAAACTACATCATCGAGCTCTTGTTTTTGTTTCAGAACGCGTCGAATACGGCATTGGTTCACTATCCAAATTAACGGATGTGCTCAGTGAACTGTCCATCTCAAAACCATTCATCGTGACTGGTACATCGCTGGCAACAAAAACTGAAGTTATAGAGCACGTGAAGAATGCTGCTGGCTGTGAAGTGGCTGCTGTTTTCTCAGCTATTCAGCAGCATTCACCCATTCAGCAGATTAAGACCGCCGTGGTTGAGCTGAAAAAGAGCGGTGGTAATGGAATCATTGCAGTTGGTGGTGGATCACCGATTGATGCGGCCAAATTGATTATTTATTTTTATAAGGAAGAAACCGGTCGATTGCTCAAGCTAATCAGCATTCCAACGACGCTCTCGGCTGCAGAGTACACTATCATCGCCGGCTACACTGGTAAGTGAGTGTCATTCGACCATTAGATACTCCGCGAATGTTGTGGAATCTTGGTGAAAAAAAAAGCACTAATTTCAAAAAGCTTAGGCTTCCACTTCGTAAGCAAAGTCTAAGGATTCTTAGTAAATCGTTAGGTCCATGAAGCAGTGCAATATGCAACATTCGGTTTGCTGCTGCTACTGAGATCAACGAATTTTCTTTTTCATGTTGAGACTTCTCCATCGAAATTTCAAAAAAAAAAAAAGGCTTGAAGGTCTTATTCATTTCCATTGAAGAAATTTGATGCAATACGTACACTATTGGTGACCACTTAAAGGGACAACCGACTAGTTTTTGCTGTCAACATTATAGAATCTATACAAATATCATCTTACTATTTTCAGATGAAAATGAAAAAAAGACACGACAGTTAAGCAATGATATCGGTTCATCAGCTGTAATACTTGATGCCACCTTGTCATTGTTTACACCAAATCGCTTATGGCTTTCAAGTAAGTAGTTGAGGATTGGGTAGTCATACAATGATATCTTAATAATTAGCGGGAATTCGAGCTCTGGACCATTGTGTCGAGCAACAATATAGGTCCGGTGCCCCGCTACCAATTCGAGTATTGGCTCGAGAAGCGGCAGGAACATTGTTCGAATCGCTGCGAGCGTGCCACAAAAATGACAAGGATGTTGAGGCTCGACAACGAGCGCTCATTGGTGCTTGGTTGAGTCTTTGGTCTGACGAACGTATTGCTTTCATGGGACCGTCACATTCAATTGGATATCAACTGGGATCACCGTAAGTCAAGAGAGGACTTTTTTCTGTAGTTCAAATGGTAAGACACACTTGCATGATGAACTATGTGCATCCTTGAAATGAGGTGCGTATATTCTCATTATGTTCTGAGCGTTCCCAAATAACGGGTTTTGTTTTGATCATATCTCGTGTGAGATTCCCATTGCTAGTGTGAAAGAGCAAGTTTACAGTCTATTAGAACGAATGCGAAGCATAAGGGAATTCGGTAATTGACTGTACGTTTGCTCCGTTGTGCTCCTATCTGAGAGTACTTGCGTGTTGTCTTTGGGATAATGTACGTAACAGCCATCTTTTGATACTTAAGTGCTATCATAAATGAGCAATGACATAGCCTCAATGAAAAATGCTTTTTTTGAGCTAAGAAGACAATTTGAAACGAAAATTTTGTCAGCATTCGAATTTCATTGTTATGGATAATCATGTAGACGAACCCTTGCTTTGATGAATACTTGTTTAGGCATGATGCGTGACAAGAAAGTGACAATAATCTCTCACCTTGTTATGAATGGTCTTGATTTCGGATGATGTTTCGTGTGGCCAGACTGATATTTTAGTTACATGGAAGGCAGGTTCTTTCTATGATCATACTAAACGGTCGAGACCTCAATACTCTATAGAATTGAAGTTGATAGATTCGGCAGATAAAGATTATTTTACTGATTGAATGACAACGGTAGTAATGCAAAAATCTACGAAGGAAAGCCTAATTGAACGAACATCATTTTCTTTTTCTTATGTGATGGCGGCAGTATCGGTAAGATTGTTGTAGCTACAGCTTCCATTCATAATATTGCTCATGGTTCCAAGCAACAGTCATCCTGATCCCTCAATCAATGCTCCTATCAGAGTTTCGCAGGACTGTTCCATACAATTGTTTATACTTAAACACTTCACAAGCTTCTGTCTTCTTTTGGTCTACCAACACGTTTTGGCAGTGCTTATTCGTTTTATCAGTCTTGTTTTAGGATGCCTTCAACGATAGATTAACATATCATGTGCTTCCTGTAAGTTTTTGCAACTTTGAATAGGCGTGTGCTAGACTGTGGGATTGCTCCTGGAAGTTCTAGTTCGTATCTCTGTCGTCTCTCGTATTATCACAAAATCATTGTTTCTCGGTTCTCGCTGCGTAAATCGATTGGTGTAGTCTGTCTGGCAATTCCTATCGACGCGAATGCTGTTCTTTTTTTTATCTGCGTAAATTGAGAGCAGCGTTATTATTCTTCCTAGGCGTAATCATGAATAGATCTTCATTATCTCAAACTTGTCGCTTTTCGAAGCATGAAAATTCATAATGGATGTCTCACGATTAGGTACCTGATTTCCGAATAAAGTACTACAGTAAATATTGTCAGCACAAACTTCACCATCGCTCCTTAATCTTCTTAATGTTGTGAATCATGCCTAAGGATTCTTCGCTCTGTATCTCAAGTCATTTGTATAGCTTCCATCAGAAGCTTTCACCATCCCAGATGCTTCATTACATTCGATACATGAGCTAGTTTCACACTTATATAGACAAGGTGAGAGGGATATTCTTTGGATACTAACAGGATCTATGTGGATTAAGACATGTCGAAACAAGGTGCATGCTATTAGCCTTTTGAAGAATACCTTCAAAATTAAATCTAGATATTATTACCAAACGAATGCTCGTATTTAATTCTTATTTAGCTTTGGAATTCCTCATGGCATTTGTTCATGTTTGACTCTTGCCCGTATCGTGGCTATTCAAGCAAAATATTTACCGGATGCTGAAGTCAAACAGCTCGCGTCTCTCTTACCATTTATTACAACGATCATGCCACATCAGCAGGTTGAGAATCCGCGCGAACAAGCACTGAGAGTAGCTGAAGCAATCACGCAACTCATCGCTGATTTGGGTCTTACTAGTACATTACGCGAATACCAAGTACCCACATCTAGTTTTGAAGGGATTGCTGAACGGGCACTTCCTGATGGCAAGGCTGATGCAAGATACAATGATTTTGTTGCGCTCCTTGAAAATATCTATTGATCACTTCAATTAGAATAAAAATATAATACATCAGCAAGAATTATGTTGTTCATACATGCTTTGTTCGCTTACCTGATGCTTTTAGGTTCCTTCTAAATTGTCTCCTATGCTTTAGCGTAAGAGCTACAGCTGAATTTTCATTTTTTGAGGATTTTGAAATCAATGTGCGAATAAAGTATTCAGGAAGAGCTAGACTAGCCTGTGAAGCACTCATGAATGAACATTCGAATGTGAGTGCAGGTCTCCTCTCCATTCACATCTGCATCCTCACTGTTGTCACTATTGTTATGTTCTACTTTTAGTATCCGTATTTTAGGGTGTGGGGTGTGGGTGTGTGGGTGTGGGTGGGTGTCGGTGTGGGTGTGGATGGGTGTGAGTGTGTGGGTGGGTGTGGGTGTGGGTGGGGTGTGGGTGCGGTGTGGGTGTGGGATGTGTGGGTGTGGGTGTGTGGGTGTGGGTGTGGGTGTGGGGTGTGTGGGTGTGGGTGTGGATGTGGGTGGGGTGTGGGTGTGGGTGTGGATGTGGGTGGGGTGTGGGTGTGCGTGTGCGTGTGGGTGTGGGTGTGGGTGTGGGTGTGGGTGTGGGTGTGGGTGTG